ACTTGGCCTCCACTCCTCCTCTTCCAACCGCACCCACAACGCGCAAACAATGCACGTCGCGGGAGTCGGTGTGCTGGCATGCGCAACACGTGGCCCAGCCATCGGAGCCTGGTGCGTGGTATAATGGTACTGAGCGGTTCACTCGCTCTTCCTGCACCAAATACGCGACTTCGAACACGCTCATTGCTCACGCGGTGCTGCCACCAGACATGAGCTAAGCTGCGAAGGCCTCGATGATTGAATATGACGAGCTCCTTTATGTCTGTCGACCTGATGGGTCAGGTTTCACATCCATATAAGAGAGTTGAACAGACGGCTGCGTTGTAAACTCTGCCCTTCAGGGCGATAGTAATGTTACGTCTGCGCCACAGGTGGCGGAGATTGGCAAAAGCATCTCGAGCTTTTGCTGTACGGTTCGTAACCTCATCTTCAATCCCACGGGTGCTACCCAGATACTTGAATTCCTGAACGACTTCTAGCAGATTACCACCAAGCCTTAGCGCAGGGTTGGGTCCCTGCCAATCTTGGAGAAGTACTTTGCGTTTCGATGGAGCAAAGCATAGCCCAAAACGATAGACAGCCAGTGCTAATCGGTCCAGTGCTATTTGGCATGTTTGGGAGCTGTCACAGATTAGGGCAATATTGTCCGCATACTCCAAGTTAAGAAGTCGCTCACCAAGAAGTAGCTCCACACCTTCTAGGTCGTGTCCAGCTAACGCTGTTTTCATGACTTCCTCAATAGCGAAGTTGAAGAGGAAAGGTGACAGCGGGCATCCTTGTCTCACACCGCTGATGATACTGAAGGGTGGCGAGAGTTTGCCATAAACCCTCACCCTGCCCGAACTATGCGCGTACAGCGCTTTGATAATATTTGCATATTTATCAGGCACACCTTTCCTCAACAGACAGTCCCAAAGGGCACCTCGATCGACTGAGTCGAAGGCACCTTTTATGTCAAGAAGCACGACGACGGTGGGTCGCCAGCAAACATGGCGGTGCTCCAACACTTGACGCAAGGTGAAGATGTGGTCGATGCAGCCCCGACTTCCACGAAATCCGGCTTGCTCTTCACGAATCTGGCTTTCACGAGTGCCAGTCAGTCTGTGGAGAATGATAGAGGCAAGCGATTTAGAGGCAATCGAAATCATACTGATCCCTCTATGATTGCCGCATTCCAAACGAGAGTCTCCCTTGCAAATTGGGACAATGACGGAGCGGTTCCAGTCTGTCGGGACTGTCTCCTACTCCCAAAGTTTTACTAGCAACTCGTGTATATTATCTATTAGAGCAGGTCCGCCGAGTTTGAAGAGGGCTGGGGGAATTCTATCTGCCCCTGCGGCCTTATACAATTTCAGCAGCCTGATCTCACGTTCGACTTCCGCGCGTGATCCAAGAAGACGGCCCAGGGAGAAGGGCGCTCAATGCCCGAAGAAGAAAGCGATAACTCAGGTTGATTAAATTGCCTTGCAAAGTGTTCAGTCCAACGCTCCAAGCGTTTTGACAGGCTGTGGATCGGCTGCCCACTCTCATCGCGTATGGTCTCGCTAACACCAGGTCTTCTGCTGCCTGTTTCCCGTATCAGACGGAATAACTTACGATGATTACCAACGGCAGCGGCTGTTTCCATTTCCGATGCACGATGAGACCACCAGGTTTCGCGGTCCTTCTTCAGGCTAGCACGTAATTTTGCCCTGAGATTTTTGCGGGTCTCATTGCATTCGTTTCCAACCGGAATACGTCGGCGAGCATCCATAAGTTCCAGAGACTGTGTAGAGACCCAATGTCCGGTTTTGCAATTTGCTTTGCCACATGAAGACATGCCTGCTAACAGCAACGCTTGACGAATATGCGACCAGTGATCTTCAACGGTGTTTAGTGGGCGCTTATTCAGCCCAGATGTCAGCGCACTTTGGTACACATTCAGGACATCTGGCTTCGCCAGCTGGCTGGTGTCAATCCGTTCACATCGACGTTGCGGACATCCACCGAAACGCACCAGGAGATCGGCACAGACAAGTGAGTGGTCAGAGTCCACGCTCGTGCTCCAAATCGTGCGACAGTTTTGAACACAGCCTCTCCAGCGGTAACTGATCACGATATGATCGATTTGCGTCCATGGCTGGCCCGAGGCTGCTGGCCGTCAAGTCACGCTTCTGCGGGTGCTGTGTTGGAAGTTAGTGCTCGCGAGAAAGTGGCGAGCATCTTCACACAGCTGTAGCAATCGCTCACCATTATCACTACGGGTGCTTACACCATGTTGGCTGCCCAGATGAAGCTCATCAGAGGACAAATTTCCAACCTGGGCGTTTAGATCGGCAACCAACACCACAGTATTCGTGCTTCTTCTGTAACGAAGGAGCTCGTGAAGTTGCTGATAGAAATCATCTTTTACCGAATCAGTGCTACAGTTTATAAGGGCGTAAGCTGCAATGAGAAACAGGCACCGTTTGTCCCCGCGCGACTTCTTAGCACGGAACGAACCAGGTAATCTAACGGCGCACATCCTACTGTTTACTGGGATCCAATCAATCAGAGCAACTTCAGCCCGGGGACTCAAAACAATGCCGACGCCAGCTTGACCGGCATTTGAAGCTGCATCATCGCCAGACAAGCGCAATGAGAATGTGCCGCCAGTGTCACATGTGGGGAATCGCAGGGTAAGCACGGAGCTCGAATCTTGCGGGCGGATTTCTGATAAACAGCAAATATCGATCGATAGGGTCTCTAGTGTGCGGGCAAGTTCTGCCTGTTGGCCAATCTGCAGCAAAGTGCGCTCGTTGAGGCATGCCAATCTTAGCGAGACACGAGGACTCCATAGGGAAACGGATGAACTGACGTTGTCCGCTTGGTTGAACATGGACTTTTCGACTGAATTGGAGCGAGGCACTGCGATTATATTTGACTTGAAATTAGAAGACAAGCGACTATTGAAGTAAGCTAGAGGAGGGCCGAGAATTGGGGGATTGAAAATGGGGGGATATAAGTAAAGTTGGAGCGGGAAGGTAAGGATGAAGAAGCGCAAGAAAGGGTATTAGAAGACGGGAAGGCCTGAGCAGTAGCATCCATACCCTATCCACCCTGCTCGATGCAGCAGATAGGGCGCCGTTTATTATCCTCTGCGACGGCCAGAGCATCAAGAAAGTATTGTAGGAAAAGTTCCTTGTATTGCGTGGGCAGAATACTGTCAGGTTACCCAGGCCTAGACAGGAGAACGATTAGGGTCCTCAACCAAAGCCTTTGGTTCAAAAATCTTACCGCAAGGCAGCGGGTTTTGGCCCTGGACTACAGAGCCCGTTTTATGAAATGATGAGCCACCCCCATTCCAACCCCCAACCTGGAGTACCAGGAGGCTGAGTTTGTCTGGCCTCTAACCATTGACCATTCTGGTATGAGTGGCTCTGAAGGTGCAAAAAAAGTGCCACCCAGCATGGCTCAATGGATCTCTGAGGCACGCAAACCATCGCACCACGGTAAGGTCCAGCCTCATTGTAATGACACTTGTCAGTTGCTAAAAGTAACAATTTATAACCGCTTCAGCCAATGTAGAGGTAGGTGCGTACACCCCACTTAACTATTCAAATGTGTTTGTGAGTCTTGATCTATCAGTTCTGCTTAACCTAATTTATTTGAACGGGGTCCACTCTGATATTTGTAACTTGTTGCGTGACTATTTCACTGATCGTATGCACTTGACCCATTTAAACGGCAAACGCTCCTGTATGCTCCGCGCCGACTGTGGTGTTTTACTGGGCACCATACTCTCACCTATCTTATTCTCTTTATATGTCGAAAGTCTCCCCATACCATCAACATTCATTTGTTGTAAATATGCTGACGATCTCGTCTTGGGGTGCAGATTTCCCACCACTGATACGTCTACGCTTCAATGTGGTTTAGACGAACTTGTGAATTGGTCCTCAACCAGGTTCCTTAACCTTAATGCTTCGAAATATACTGATGTAACATTTTCGTTTCTCTGCCCTGATAAATTGCGAGTACTTTTAAATGTCTCTCCTCTGTTAACTTTGGAGGACAAAACCATTCTTATTTCATCCAATGTCAAATATCTGGGTGTCTATTTTTCACAGAACCTCTCTTGGTCCATGCAAGTTTTGGAGACCTTTCCCAAGTTCGGAAGTTTATCATTTTATGCTTTCAGACTTAAGAAGTTCTCCATACCTCGAAGCTTAACTTTGACTTTGCATGTATACTACCCCATTGTTTGTACTTTTCCCCAGTAATCTTCTCTGGACTACTGCAGAAGGACTATGTCTTGATTGTGCAATCGATTAAACACATTTCCATAGGTGGTGGCTTGCCAAAATATTCCATAGTTGATTTTATTGTCCGTAAGCATCTTACCGCTTGCATGCATTTTTCTTCTCAGGTCCTAAGTGACCGCTCTCATACGCTACATGATACTCTCTCAAAAATGTTATCTGTCTCTCAAACACGCTCAAAATTTAGGATTTTATTCTTTCGCACTTCTTCGTATCGTAACACAATCGTGCTTTATTTGTCACGCTTTCTTGTCGATCCTATGAAAGTCACAAATGCTTTGCGCACGCAGCTGCTTGCATGACATTCACATACCTATGACTATTTAATTCTTCAATCTTTAATTGTGGATGTTTGTGAGTGGTGTAAAGTTCGTAGAAAGTAGAAGTCACGATTAAAATTCACACAATAATGTGCCTCGACGGGGAATCGAACCCCGGCCCAACGAATTTCCGGTCCGCTGCTCTACCACAGACCTCGGTAGCTGATAACGCACCTATTTAGGTGTGTAAAGCCTATTTGACTTTAAAATTATAATGATTCAGTTCATTTTCTCATTGAGAAGTGGATTTCCCACAGAGATTTGACTTATTCCGGGGTAATCTGGCTTGAAATAATTGCAAGCCTTGGACTATTTCTTTCTCATGCGTTTGTTTTTTTATGCATTTTCTATGCGTGACGACTGGTTTTATTACGAAGGGATTTGTCTGTTCCACTGACAGCTTCCCACAATCCGCAGGACATTGTGCTCATTTACTCCTTCCATATCCTGTCGCGGCCATCTTAACGCTGCCGGCCTCCGATTCCCTGATTGGTGCAGCAATACTCGCTTTGGCCAACTCCGACAGTCGCACAAGGCCTTCTAGTCGTTCACGAAAGTCGAAGTGTATTTTATTCTCACGCGGATATCAGCACAACGCAGACATCATTGCAACTACAACACAGTGGCCGACCCTTCTTGCCCTGTCCGACCAATTCGTGTTGAGGCCTTGCATGTTCAATCGAGTGCATTATTCCAGATTGCGATCTATCCCTACTCCAACTGGAATGAAATATCCGCGACAATGCTCTTCTGCCGCAGAACGTTTGGCCACTGAATTAGGTATCAAGCTGGTATGTGTTCTTTGGTTGCTTTACTCAACACTTATCTGCACGTGACTGGCTTAACAAGCAATAACAATTAGAACGTAACTTTCAAATGGTCAAACTTTACCTCGTTATTAGATATGTTTTTATGCTTATCCGGTCGCGAGCCATCTTGTCCCCCTTAAATTTATGGTCCCAACCAAAATCAGAAACCAACAGCCACAATGCAAAGCGTGTTGCAGCAGTAGCCGCTAAACGGTTTAATTAATGACACAATGAAATTGTATTTATTGTTCAACCCAAGAACCTTCAGTTTCTGTAGCATCTAGGTCAGTGGCCAAAAATAGTAGTTTTGAAGCTTATCGGCCAATAGGAAAACGGATGCGCGCGTCGCATGACGGTGTTCATTGTTCTCGAAACGACTGTCCAGATCTTCTATCTTTGCAATTTACAGTTCTTCGGAAACGTTTTACTATCTCCTGGACACATCCTTACGTAGGCAAAAGGCATTAAATTGCATCTGCTCGTGACTTTCCGAGAACGGACACCGTGAAACACAGCTTCCACCAACTGTAGCTATGTATGACCTAGCATTTAGAAACTCTTCTGACGGATATTTTACATACTCATGAGTGAATAATTTTTGATGCAAATACTTGGTGTTTCTTCGCAAAAGTTTTCAGATCAGATAGTCCTCTGCATTCCTGGAAAACCACTAGACGGTCATTTCGACCTGCATCCATCGGACCAATCAGGATCCGAACCCATGACCACTAGCAGCTTGTACCGCCAGCCTGAAGTTTATGCCACCGAGTTGTCTTGTGTTTATCTTTAAGATATGCGCATAATGCTCTCAAATGCTTTCCCACTGTTTTGGATCCCTCTTTTTGACACGAGTCGAGTACTAAGTAAAAACTCAGACATTCACATAGTAAGGAGTACGTGCAAATCTTCAGAGTTAGGTCGGATGTTTCCAATGTCTGAATCGATATATCACCCTATCACTGAAGGTAGTAAATTAAGTACATTGGAAGAGTGCCTAGATACACCATTTTCGCAACCAATCAAATGTTGACAAGAGTCCAAACAAAATGATTATGCAACGACAGATGTAGGCCAATGTAAACGCAGGGGGTGTACACATTGCTTTGGTACACACAGTTCCGGCTTCGGGAAACGTATATAGTTCGCTTCAGAACTAGATAGATGTTTCCGGAATCTGCGAGAAGCGCTCAGGAATGGAGTAGAGGATTCTGAAATCATTTTCAAGGCCTGCGATCGTGTTCATGTAGGTTCTAAATGATGAAGCTATTAGAAAACCTCGCTTCACTTTTGTAAAAGCACTTCCGGATGTGGTCACAAATCCTGTGTTAGGCGCCTCGTGGTACGACCCACGTATCGTGCACCACATGAGCACGAGTACTGATAAACAGGCATTGATTGAGTCAACAGAAACAGTCCATCCTTCAGGAATCTTGCTATTAAAGGTTTACTGTAATGCGGTATGCGCGGGCGAGCCGCGAACGAGATAGATGCTATCAGCAGTACGCCGGTACCCAATACCGACGCTTCGCTGCTATGCAACCATTACCAGTCGCACGTAAGCTACGGATACTGCGAAAGTCGTCCGGTTAAGTACGCAGGCTTGTGATCCTTTAGGCTACGGGGCGACCGAATAGGTCTTCTCAGCAGCGTTCAGTGGATCAATGGCAATATCGCCTTTGAATGGTAACTACGCATAAATTCTTAGTACATTCATCCTCGGTGATTTTACGTTCTATCAAATGTTCGAAAATGAATATATCCCGGTACCCATTTGCTCCTTGCGTGTCGTGGATCCTATGCGATCCTTTGATAACAATATCTGATTTGCGAGGGCTATCCGCCCAGAAGGCAAGAGTGCGGACTAGATTCCTTTTATACCGTAGTGGTACCGCACTGTACATGTCGGCAGGCTGCCTGATCTAAGTTTTCTACACAACTTTCTGCTGCACTATCCGTCGGTGTCTCTGATAATATCTCCCCCCCCCCCAGAAACGGTAGTCGACCGTTAAACTAAACATCCTAATCATAATTCAGCCCAACTTGGTGCATTCAGCTTCTAGACCTTACTATGTAAACATCTGAGTCTGATGAGTGTTATTGAAAAATTTCTCACTCAGTAATTGTCTCTCATTTTGATGCATGCCATTAAATACGAATTTTCGGATTGGTGATGATAAAAATCCTTCTTTATTCTACTGTGTACCTCATCTTAACTCGGATCCATTCTGTCCTCCACATTTCTCATAGAGAACCACCGGTGTTTCTCTGTGTATCAACGCTTATCGTAGTCTTCCTTAGAAGATCAGTTGGAAATGACTTCCAGTACCCCGCTTTTGTGTGACCCCATGAGGTTCAATGGAAGTACACGCAGCTACTGTGTCCAAAACAGCTTTACCTCTGTTCGCTGCTTCAGGAATTGCAGAGCTATCTGGCGACATGCAATCGGGGTCGATCTTCCACGGTAGCTGCTTAGAAATGCTCTTTTTATTTCCTAATCACTCAAGTTTCGTTTTTCGCAGACAGGTCATCCATAAATATTGGTCCGCATTTTATTAACAACTCTGTTGATACTGATAGCCGATTTTGAGGTACCCACTGTCTTGGATTGCGACACGCAATCTCAATTGTGCTTTCGGCTGCTTTGAAGTCATCCCGAACTATTCCAATCACTGGGACCCTGTCCGGTCGAAGTGAAGGGTTTCGATGTTGCTCTCTCATTCCTGCACTCCACTATCGATGGTTTCATCCTGGTTTGGTCTCATCAGTTACAATTCTGGTCCTCCCTCACTTTTTTTTCAGTCTACAGGTCTTGACCTGATCCTCTCTTCTTCACCTCCCGGTGACTGGTCATCTCTTGAATCCGGTGTGGCAGACAGCGATCCGTCCTGGTTGAACTTCTGGAACTCTCTCCAAGTTAGTGAAATCCTGGATGTTCTAGCGTTTTTACTCAACCTACGAGTTTGCGGCACATGCCGACAATCGCATCTATTTGTGAGAATAGTCTGTTTGCGCCCCACCGTCGTTCATAGATTCCGATGCGCCTCCTAATAATCACTTCTCTTTTCGCTGAAAATGTAAGCCGCATTTTTTTTAACTCGCCGTGTTGTTGTGTTGAATCTCACTTTACCATAGACCCCATCTGTCTCGAGTATTCATGACATGTTCAACAACCCCATTGTTTTTACTCATGGGTAGTTAAGTTTTGATGTACTCATTCGGAGGTTCTTTCGAAGCAGCTTCCAAATCAGAGCTCTTCACATGCCCAGTGAAGCATTAGACCGACCGTTACGTCTTATCCGAACTTGTCTATAGTGCGTACCAATCAGAATGTGAGCCCATGGCCACTAGCGGCTTGCGCAGTTAGGCAGTTCTTAATGTCATCGACCCACGGAAGACAGTGGCGGACTGTCGTGATTTACAAAGTGACTGCGATTATAACGTGACTCATTCTCCACTGTCATGCAAGTCACGAACCTTGCATGGGACAGGCCCCGAGAGACACGACTTCCACTTGCAGCAGATATGTACGACAGCATTTAGCGTCTGTTAGGGCGAATGTCTTATTATACTCATAATTACAAGGTAGATCCCATGTGTTTTACTCTGTTTCGGATAAGAAAACTCAAAAGCGATGAAGGGAATCTGGCTCAGCTGTCGTTCACTAAAAGCGAATGATTCATAAATTGATGGGGTTTAAAAGCATTCGAGTTACGTGCCTTTGGTGATGAAACCCGTATGGTCTACATGTAACCTTCACCGAATGTCTACAATCCCGCTACTCCGTTTTATCCTAATTACCAAATAGTGATGGTCGGCTGCCGTCCTCCATGGCTCAGTTGCATAAGCTGCGGGCTAGTTGGCACAAGCCACTAGCAGTCATGGATTCGATCCTCCGTAGAGGACCGAAGGATGCACACCACTGACGAGCCCCAGTAGGGCGAAACGGCCGTCTGGTGCTTTTCCGGATAGGTAGTTGATTTATCTGAATTATCGGTTGAATGTTATTCTCATTATTTATAAGAGCTACTATGATGAGCAGATCAGAAGGCTGACTGGGGTGCGTGCCGCTGTCCAAACTGGGTAACTTCAGTGGTACAGTCAGCGAAACAACGCTTTGTTGAGTTTGATCTCCTTCTTCCAACCATTGAGTCTCCCGTCCGACAATTTTACCCGTTTCCATCATCTTTCCAATACACTTTTCACCCTATTGTTTGGTTTTGTTCTACCCGTTTCCACTCGTCACTGCTATTTTTCGTCGCATGGACCACTTAACTGGCCGGCTGGATGCAACGCGTTTTGACACCCAGATGATGGTCACTTATCTCATTCTGACCACTTCCCTTTCCATATCCATCCATACGAATTAGACCGAAATTGGGGCTCAACATTTTTGCATGCATTTGGAGTTTTTGCACCTTACACCAATTAGTGATGAATCTGTGTGGAACCGCTGGGGAGGCGTGCAACCCTCTCTTATTTGACGATCGTTTTATATTGCCAATATGTTTTTGCCATCAATCTGATGCCGCGTAAAGAGAGATGTCTGCAGCTTCAGTATCCGTCCCTCGCAGAGGTAACGTTAATGCGGTCATCATGCAAGTCGGACTATGATCATGCCCACACAGGCGCGCCTCGCAGTATCAAAAATAAATATTTATTTATTGACTACGCAAAATGTTCATTTCTCGACTCGACGAAACATATCAGTCTTTGCAGTTCACAACAAATTGTACGCCTCTCAAATTGACGACCATGTCTCTTGTGCGAATCTTTCATTTGGGAAACTGGACTCTCTATGTAATACGATAGTGGATGCCAATCAATGAGTTACAGTTTTGGCACGTTTATAATATGCCCATACTTTTTAGTTGGCTCGAGCTCCACATTAATGTTCAACTGTTGTTAATTATTCTTGTCAACCCCCTGTTTACATGTCTTCTCTAGATGGATTTCATTTTCGACCATATTGTATCCATTTTTGGGCCTCTACCGCTCCAATTCAGTTGACCCTAGGTCTTAGGATCCCGGTCCCATTCTATAATTTTTTGATGTGTGTGATTGCATGAGAAGGAAGTTGATTTACTGGATGGGATAATACGAGAAGAATGTACAGTTCATGAAGTAACGGATACTCTCATGTGATAACTACTGCACTAGATTGACAGATGTAATGAATTCTGTCGCTTTGCACTCCGTCAATCGTGCTTGCGTTGTCGTTGAGATTCATCGTCAAGTATCGTTTTCTCGTGTATAACCGAAGCATCCTTGATACGCATTACCGGTGTTGTGCGTTGTCATACATTTCTCTGTTAGGGTTGGCGATGACGTAATGTTGGAAAATTTACTGTTACAGCTCTGACCGCGCTGGGCTATAACTCTGTGGAACACGGTATTCAGATAGTAACACAAGACAGCAGAACACACCAGTTTCGACAGTACACAAAATGTATTCTGACTGGCATCAACTACAGCGCATTGCACAATTTCCCATAGGACAATCAGTAATTAGCTTGACGTTAGACTGACACCCAGTGATACCGGCAAGCTCAGACAATAAGGAGCAAGTAAACATGGTTCACGCGGATGCCACAGTTACTCACGGGGAATCAGCCGTATTCGGAATCATGCATCTATGTTTTTTGCGTCTGCTCCCGTCTCATCGAATCACATAGTGCACGTTAATTCAACGAGCATGCAGTGCCGAAGACTTCGTATCTGTCTCATTCGGAATTGGCGGGTGTATACTATTGAACTGAATCTTGGTTACTCCTTAGAGTGTGACATCTGGGCATGTTGATCGGTAGTCGGATACTTTTCCAATGTACGTGTGTCTCATCGTCTGTATATCCGTGTGTTCCTGTGGCTGGAGTTTCCAATTACCTCTGTTATTTGTCCACTATACTAAGCCCAATTGATCTTGCCCACACTTCCTTCTTTCCCCAAACCAACTTACAACCTACTAATGCTTTACTTTCTCTCTCTCCCTCATACAGAGCCGTCTTACAGCATCGGGAGGCGTCGAAAAATTGAAGGCGGACGCTAAACTATACTACAGAGATAACATCTCGGAAATATGCTCACACAGAGCGGATGATTAGTGAGTTATCTCCATATATTTATTGGCACTTTTCTTGTCTTTCCCTCTGGGTCACATTCTGTTTGGAGTCATTTCCTTAAGCGCTCCCCGTCCAAGTGACCCACATGAATCAGTGCCTTCTCCCTGTTTTTTTTCTAAGTTACCACTTCAAGCTACGGCATGAGTTTGTAGATCTTGAGGTTGCACCACCGTGAAATTTGTCATCGCAGCGCGCTTCCTCTGTTGCATCGTTTTTAGCGCAGGATCTTGTGTAGCCCCTATATCATTTCGCTCTCAGGCTCAACCATAGTTTTCCCCCATGTGATAACATAGATTTGCCATCTAACTTCCGGTTTTATATATAGCTATCTGTACATAGCATTTATCTGCCATCTTCCTACTGTAGTGAACATGCTTGGTTAACCGGTGCTGACTCCCATTGTTTGCACTCATGTCCCCTAGTGTAGACGTTTTCATCTTACTGGATCTTAGTTGGATTTATGTTTCATTCAACAACGTATCCTCTGGGATAGTATCATCATCCGAAGTTAGCTTAGTGAGCAGACGGCATGTGACCGCCGGGGTCTATGGAGGGTGTCTGGCCAGCCCCAACGCACTAGAAAATACTTCCGCGTTTTAAACAAGAAATTCCCCTTATGCTTCCAAACAGGAAAGTCAGAAGACGCCTCTTGTGAGATGACGTCGCCATTTAATGCATTATCATCAAGCACAGACGTGCAGCAGTGATAGATAAATCATAACGGTGTCATGTGAGATCGTAGGTGGACAAGCGCTTGCGCTACCAACATTTGTTTAGCGTTACGGTCATTTCTTTTTTGCTTGCACTGAAATGGGCGTTCGCATTCGATAACGGTGGTCTCCAGTGGCTTAAGAATGCGAAGCCGTTGATTGCGCATTAGGACGGTGAACGACTGATCAGGATTGACTCCGGTGGCCGCCGGTCAGCAAGCATTTTGTGGCTGCTGAGGCTGCTCGCTTCCATTACTCAAATACTTCCGTCCTCACGGACCCTACCCGGCTGCGTAACAACTTGGGGATATGTTCCTTGATTTTGATAATTATACTTTGGTCAGTGCGGCCAACTTAGCTGTCTCCACAGCTACGGTTAATTTGTATAGACAGTGAGACATACATTGCCTTCTCGTCGGTGTCTTAACCGAACGCATGAGCGTAGGTCTCGTCGAGGTGAACAGTCACCGTTCCACCGCATTTTATGCTCCTTTCTTGGTAAGCTTCATAATTTGCTTACCTGTGAAAGATAGCTCGATAAAAATTGGCTTCTTTAAGACTGTTAGCACACACTTGGAGATTTCTCTGAGGATTGTACAGCATCGAACAGCAGATAGGGGAGAAACTCGTCCGTCTGTCCAACCGAAAGCGACCACACAGTGAATCGGTTTAAGAAACAGACCACCTTGACCGAAACGATGGGGATGCCTTTGTTCAGTTGTCAGTTCTCTCCCTTCGTCCACGACCATCCTTGTTGGATCCAATTAGGCGTTTGTGTCTTGCGACCATCTGCTTCTCAGTGACAATCATCATTGGTAGTTTCTGTTCTGGTTTCACTAAAACTTCACGCGGTTCCCTAAGGACCTACGAAAAATTCCATCTCGATTTTCTGGTGTTTGGTTAGGTGCTTCTCTTTGCCCCCTAACTCGGCTATTTGTTGACAAATGTATTCCATCTCGATTTGATCTCTTACCGGTCGTCGGATTACATCCCCCGAATCGATCCCTATATGTACACAGATGTGGAATCCAGTTGGCGCAGCGCTGTTCATATGGGCACACAACTTCCACTTCAAGTTTGCTGGCCGCATTTTTGACACTGTTCGTTGTATTATGGTCTACCGCGCTTCGACGTTCCCACTATGCACAATGTAGTTCAGCTTTACTCTCGTTCTATCGATCCACCGCACTTCATCATTCACGTTGACAGCGACACCCTTTTGCCTCGACGCTGGGACGTTCATCCCTCCTGGTTGATGATTTACTCGTCCAGCGTCTTCTCGTTTATTTTCCGGCTGTTTAGGACATTTTTCCGTGTATCTGTCTCTGGCTAGCTGCTGTTCTTTCCCTGCATCTCCTTTCTACTCCTCTTTCTAACCGATTGTCTGTGCTTTTCTCTACTAAACGTAATTCTCTCTTTGTTGCCACAGCTACAACTGGAGTGCTAAGCATCCGGGCGCTGCGTTACACCAAATGTTGGACGCTGTCGAACGGAGCAGTGTCACGGTTCCTTCTGTTGATCAGTTTATGGCACAGGAACCCACCCTGCCCCCTGCAGATGGTACTTGTTATTTAATCTTATCTCTTTTGTTTTTGCCGTGGTTCTTCAGAACTTACAATTTATCTTCATTGTTGTCCACCGCCGACCTGCCGTACGAAAAGAGTAGCTGCATAGCCATCAGATCGACTACCCCTCCGTGTGTCACATTGGGTACATTTTTTATCGCCAAGCTGGAACCTAAACAGTCTGTTTCCCAGTTCCTCTCTCACATGACTCAATGCTCATGTGGCTACCAGAGGGCGCAGCTCTAGATATATTGTTTTACCCCGCATGCACTAACGAAATTTTGCGTTGGATCGGAGCACCCATCACGCCATGGCGACAATGGATTGGCTAGATAAGTTATAGTATCTTTTCAGGGACTCCTGAGTAGCGGCTCTGTTCACACAGAGATGGCCGATGGCACGCATAGTTGTTGCTCCCATCGTTTTCAACGGAGGCTCATGACTTTTCATCTGAGTAATGCCTTATTCTGAAGGCGGTTGCTCAGCGGTACGATCACTTCGCATTGAGGACGGTAAGATGTTGCTTGTTGTCGTTGTGTTATCGCTGATCTTACGGATAACTGATACAGCTACAGTAGATAAAACCTCTGTGGAACACCCGGCAAACAATATGTATAGCTGAATAGGGTATGAGAGGGTGATCTAGCTAAACTTTCCTGAAGCCTAACCGTTACTAAATGTGAAATTCGCTTGTTGACTGCTCAAGTAGTGCGCTCAATGGAGGACTTCAATGTAGCTCATTCCATTAGTAAACTTCGAGCTAAAAAGCTGTGATTGTCCAACCAATTGGCTTCAGCATGTATCGGGTCAATCTTCTCCGTGCTGCTGGCTGGAGTACCGACTCTGAGGCCGCCATGCACAGCCTTCTTCAACAGTTGTCTTTGACCCACGGTGCTTGCGTGCTGTTGCTCACCTGTGATCGGAACACTTGATGAGTGGTGCTGGGAACTGCCAGTTGTGGCTTGACAGAAATTAACCTAGCCTGTCTGCTAAACTTGGACTGCTTATTTTTCTAGCTCGTGTTCTATGTCTGTCCGTGGACCTCCCCTTCGTCTCAGACTCCTCCTGCTCACCTTGCCAACTTGATATTACTGTGGTTACGTCGTATCCCGTCTCTCTCAACACGATCGGCACTCTTTTGAAACGAGGTGCATACGTTTAACGGGAGCGGTTCAGAGATTCGACTGGTTCGAATCTGCTTTGGTGCATGCGACCTCGCAGTACCCAAGCCTGCATGCAAGCTGTTGCGTCCAACTGCAAGTGTAACTAACTATCCGTCAGGAAAATGCACAGTAAGAGCCACAAGCAAGAGTATCTTTGGTCAGTACTGTACCGACAGGCAGTTTCGCGTTGTTTTTTGTTACTCGCCCAATTGAGAACGAGTGACACTTTACGCTACGTTGAATTTACGTCACCGTCATGTTTCTTGTGACTGACACGTGCATGGCTTGTCCGCTTCGTCGAGCTCACGTCACGACCGTTTCTGAAACAGATAGGTAAGTAATATTTATCTGTATCAGACGGAATAGTACTTCGGACCAAGATTTCGTGTCGCAATGCATTCAACACGCAACGCTTGCTTCACGGTAACCTCTTCAACCAAATATTGACTGTTGTTACAATCGCTACCTGCTGCCACTCGGTGGTTCAGGGTGGAAGTTCTTACTGATGTCCCGAATTCGAGTCGCAATTTCGCTCTCTGTGCTTAATTATTGCGTGGGGATGGGTGCAACAAAACTCACAACACAAACGTCACTGAGGTGGGTTCTTAGTCATACCAACATGTGTATCCAACAAAACGTATTCATCATACTTGGGACCCTAGCCAGGCAGTGTAGAAACAACAGCCAATGCCAAGTTCGCAGTGAGATTCTTTATGGTTCTTGCTCATACCAGCGGCTGGCCTCCTCCTTTTTTCCAGATCCCGCTCGCACGAGCAACCCACGACGCGAGAGTCATTGTGTTGGCATGCGCAACACGTGTGTAACGCTACAAAGCGGTTGGAAGTTTAAGTCACGCGTATCCCATCGAAATATTCGACAAAAAACCCACTCCGGACCTGAGATAACGGTGCTATTTGTGCAATTTCATCGTGTCAAAATAGACATTACCTTAACGGTTCCCAAACTCAAAGGTATGCCAACAGTTCGCGCTCAGATCCACGAGGGACCCGTTAATTCAGGCGTAGGAAGAAACAATGGAATCAAAGTGAGAGACACAGGGTTTATGGTAAGAATCCAAATGAGCCCATGGTATGCGTCCGCCAATGAAAACGCTCTGCGGTAACGTCTGATATACCTAGCTGTACAAACTGTGGGAGTCACACAAATCGATCAAATCAAGAGAAACTACCATGTCACTAAGGCCTAACATAGGGGTACTTGTGCATAGGAGTGAAAACGAGGTAGGACGTGGATGAACTGAAAATCGGGCACTAATTCACACAGTAATTACGTCATGTGGGTAGCGTTGCAATAGAAAATTGCCAAGGGGGCAGGCACACGAATGATCCATGCCGGATGCTGAGGCTGACCAAGGTAGAAGTAATCATTTGACAGGGGGTGAGGCTTGGGTGGTCGCAAATTCGTTCTACAACGTGTACTAGTCATCGGAGCCTGGTGCGTAATATACTAGTGCTGGGCGGTCCACTCACTCTTCCTGCACTTAATACGAGACGCCGAACACGGCCATTGTTCCGCGGTGTTCCCACCAGGTATGAGCTAAACTGCAAACTTATGCGATTATTTTATCGACATTCGATTGGCCTCACGAAAAGTTTTCATGAATCCCGTGGATACAGTTGGCGCTTCAGTTTACGCTTAACATGTCTTATTTCTGGGGTCATTGCTTCCTTTCCAAACGCAGTGTTTGTCTGTTATTATCCCGAAAACGGCGGTCTTAAGTGCAATTGCATGCGCCTCTGTTAGTATGAATATCCATGCTACGGGGGGCTCACAAGCCTAGTAATCTATCTCCCAGTTAATTATGCAATCTTTAACTTTTCCTAACTAGATGATTCGTGGATGTTCATAACTCCTGAAGAATTGGATGCTGAGCTCACTTCGCACTACTCGGCTGGCGCAGCGTGGTGTCAGAAGTCTGGTTCATCACAAGATGTGGAGTCGATCGCATCGAAACTGAACAATTTTATCTCTGCCTCCTCTTCTTTCAAAGGGGTGGATGTATCCAAGTGAGCACTTAGTTCAGTTCATTTCAGCCAAACAACTAATTTGTAAACCCAGGGGGTGCAAACGGAGCTCCTTATTGTGACAACGAGTATTCATCATACGTATTACTTCTAACTGTCAATATTTTCACTCATCTGTAAACATCTTCCTGGACGTTGCATGGCACTCTTCTGTTCGAAGCCTTGTCAAGTGCTGCTTCAGTATTTCTTTCTATCACACATCCATCTGCTATCTTTAAACGTATTAGCATATCGTTCTAGTCCGCTTTTGACTCGTTACCGTCCGGTTCGCTTATTAACCTTATACTGTTGCGTTGGTGTGTATTCTCAGCCAACCACACTTTGATCCGAACACCGATGTGCGGTGGATCCAGTTGGCGCCGGAATAACAATAACTAACGACGACAAGGAAATGAAGTTGTACGCGTAGAGGCTAGCATGGAAATGGAATCAAAAAATGCGTTAAACTGTTTGACATGAAATAAAACTTGATAGCCAGTTGCAAGAAACCAAGTGTAGCTGCACCGCTGACCGCCCAATTGCGTCAGATCCGAAGGAGTCTCCAACCACTGTTGTGGACCGTCCCTTTGCCCCCATCCACTAACACGACACGCACCAGCCTGTCCAAGGCTCTACGTCAGTTTCTGCGTGCCCTTATGCCACGTCATCGGCTGGCCAGCGTCTCTGTTTCACCCAACTAAATGCAGCCACGGCGGATAATGCACGCCGAGGAAGCCGATCAACGGGTATACGGAAGTCGTGACCCAAATATCGTAAGCGGTTAGGCTTCGGCGAACACTCGAGTGAGGCACCAGAAGGCATCTTGTTAATAACCAACTGGCGGACTTCAGCATTACTTACCCGATGTTCCCACTAGATGTGAGCAATACCCCGCAAGCACCGGTGCTCAGACACAACCAAGCGTTGAATGTCTTCACTGCGAACTGACCACATCTCTTTATCCATACAGTGACACCGGCCTTAGCGTCGTACACCGCAGCTTTCACTTATAAGTTGATATCCCGCCGTCTTCATAAATGGTTGAGTCTCTGGAATACCACACGGGCCATGTTGATACGCGAAGTAACTTCCTCAATGATGTGACCAGCAGTGGTGACACAGCTACCAGAGTCTGTTCGATGATAGCTAAAACCGGTGACCTATCTATCCAGTCCTTTGAAGGTGCAAAGCGCACGTCGAAGCATGCAGTGCTAAGCCCCAGCCTATCCAGTAGTGCTTGCATAGCCATTTCATCGGACCTAAGAAAGCTATGTCGTCCGCATACTCCAGGTTTGTAAGTCGTTCATCTGGTGAAACTCCCACTCCGGTGGAGTCTGAAAGAACCCCGTCATTCGTGATTCTTTCGATCAAAAAGTTGAAGAGGAAATAACATATAGAACAACTGGCGATCCGCACTTGTTGTGGGAACTGAGAAGACATTTTCCTGTAGTTTCTTTTCCGGCCTCGGGAGTCACGGTAGATACTTCAGAATAGAAAGGAGTTTCATGCAACCAGTTCCCTTGAGAAATTTCAACAAAGCATGAACAACCAACATTTCGCGAGATAGATTGAATTCAGTTTATTTCGTGTATTCTCAGTCGCTGACAAAGGAGTTTCCCCGATACTACACCCTTCACGTCTATACACAGTGCCACAATTTGGAACGGTCAAGAATCGAAGGTGACTTTCAGGTCAAAGAAAACCATCACAATCGGATCTGGTGTCAGCACACCGTACCGACACTTCGCAGCTACGCGACCATTAACAGCCACACGTGGGCCGGGTATACCGCGAAGCCGCCCTCATCTGTGCGGATTCGAACCGGTGACGACCGGTGGATTACAAGGCAGACGCGTTGTTATCCTTTCAGCCAGCGGCCGGTTGTCTGTTGGTTTTTTGGAGTACTTTCAATGTTTAATGTTGGAAGTTTGTGAGTAGGGTAAAGTTTGTAGAAATTAGAAGTCACGATTAAGGTTTAGGCACAATAATATGCCTCGACGGGGAGTCGAACCCCGGTCCACGAATTTCCGGTCCGCTGCTCTACCACCTGAGCTACCGAGGTGGTAGAGCAGCGGACCGGAAATTCGTGGACCGGGGTTCGACTCCCCGTCGAGGCATATTATTGTGCCTGAATTTTAATCGTGACTTCTACTTTCTACATACTTTCAATGTGTCTGGATTGCAACACGCAACCTCGATAGGGGCACGGTTTGCTTTGAAGGCAACCCATGCGATTTCGGTCAATGGGATCACATCCGAAACTCTCCACTAAGAAAGCTTGTCTCCGCTGTAACACTATGTAGAGTACATTTATGGGCGATGCAACCACGACAAGGGCAGTAAGCAACCTGACTCAGTGCTTCGGTTCTCACGTGGACCGGTAAGTCCTCGAAATATTCTACCACTGAGAAGTTTGCAGGCAATGGATACAAGACTAATGCGTCTATGCTTTCCGCACAAAACCAGTTGACTTTCTGAAGATTGGCGCGACAGTTGACTGGCTAGTCTAAAGGTACAAGTCGAGGAATGTGGGCCGTAGACATACTGCTTCCGTAGTGGCAAATAGACTTGCTCTTACTCCATGGCTATGCATAGGCGGTGTTCTGTATATAATCTAAAGGTTACTATGTTGAGCTGGTGACCGGACTTGATTAGGTGATATATAGTTACCCTGTTACTTGTCCTTCTCTCGTGATTGAAGACCCGAATTGGGAGGTATTCCTTGATTCTCTCTAAAAATAACTTTTCAGTGTCTCAGATCGTGTTGAAAAAAGCGGCATGTCCAGTCAACATAGTCACCCCTATGTTTCATCAAAGATGGAAGGAGGTCCTCTGGTCCAGGAGCCTTTCATCCTGTGTCCACCTCGAAGTGGACCACCAAGTGTTGTTCAGAGTCTTATAGGCGACCAACTTGCGCATTCATGTCACAAGCAACAATCTCTAACTCAGCATTTTTGTCATGCAGAGGCGATAACAGTTCACGATTAAAATCATCTTTGATACCTTCACTCAGTGGGTCCCTAAACGAAAGCACTGTCTTCAGAAGGTGCGGTTCGAAGTCCAACCGCACATATACGGCTTTTCACTGGTATCCAGTCGAGTAGATTGTCATCAACAAGTTTGCTTAGGATGATACTGACACCATAAATGCCTTGAGCTAGAGACACCAAGAGTGTGGTCATCGTCAGAAGATTCGAAACTAGGGAATCGAAGATTTCTCACGACTTGTTTTGTATGCGTGTTTCGGCTACACGAGAGACTAAAGAGTCTGAGTGATATCTTAGAATATATTTGGAACCGATGGGGAAGTCATGACTTCAGAAGGCTTTGGCAGACGACCGGTTAATGTCTGTTATGATGTACAACGTTTCACTTTCAAGTGTTATCCATGTGCTGACCTTCAGTTCATTCAGCCGATATTCTTGTCACGAGAAATGGTGAAAGGCAAAACGAGAGTACTTTTACTGGATCATTCCAGCAGCTCACAAGCCAGCTAGTTCAACCACGAATCTGGGAAAGCACTAGGTAGTCATTTCGTCTTATTGGGACTCGTCAGTGGTACGTATCCTGCAGCTCCATCAGGGAACGAACCCGTGACCGCTAGCAACTTACGCCAACCAATCAGCAGCTTATGCTGCCGGGCCATTGGGAACGGAGGCAGACCGTCTGGACTTTCAAGTTAACAGGAATATAGCGCGACCCGTCCTCCACTGCCATGAAGCTTACTGCCATTGCAGAGGACACTTGCTGGCTTCCGGAGGTCACGACACACTGTGCGTAATATTTGAAAGCTGTTAGGGCGAATATTTGGTTACTAATGAGTAGGAAGATTTTTGATGAAAGTCTATCGATCAATAAAATTTGTCGAAAATCCTCCTAATAATTGGTAAACTGAAACTAAACCAAAGGCTCATCTATTCATTTATCGAACTGGGGATTTGACCTTTGAAGTGATCTATCGAAGCTTAGCTTGCCACTGCATTTCTGCATACGCTATGCCAACTTTCGTCGCTGTCGCGTTCTCACAACTCGCACCAATAGAAAAGGAAACAAGTCGCCATGCTCCAGTTCCCCCGTCATTGTGTCGTCCGAACTGGACGCAGCATATTCCACACTACTGTCGAATGATCGCCACCCCAGTCGATTAAATCTGGTGGACCATAACACCAGACAAACAGAACGGACAAAACTTATTGTAGGATCATTTCGAAGTACTCGCCGTGTGAATGGATTGCGACGCGCCATCTCAATGTAGACCGCGATTCACATTAGGATGAACCTTGAGCAGTTCGATCACTAGGACCGTAGCCTTCGCAGATGGACGACAGACTTGATCACAAGAATAGCCAGGCGAAGATCACGATGCACAAGTCAAAGACTTCAAATCGAAAGTTCACATACCCTTCCAACACTCAGAACACGGACAGATTTCCCAGCCAATAGGATTGCTCGTCTAAGTGACCAATCACGATAACATATGAAAACGCACTCTCATCGAGGTTTCCCTGTGTTGCGCTACTTACTACACTACTGAAAAGCGCACTGATGATATCACTTCGATTGGTGACGGAACGTTTGCCACAAAATTGCCAAGTTCAGTGAACAGTTCCACTGCCTCCAGGACAGCCTAAACTACCAATTTCCCATTTTATTTCAAATCGTGCGCCACCAAGCGTCGCTCAGCAAGCGTCTTTAGATTCGGGCGTCTGATGTGTACCCAACTCTTCTCTTATTTGACCCTCTGGGTTACACATCAACTATTTTTCAACCGTTGGCTAGATCTTTTTCGGTGTGCTACTATGTCCCAAAATAAGTGTTGCTTTTCCTGTGTACCATTAGACAAAGTAACACCTTTGCTCGATGTCGCCACCTGGGCAGCCTTGTTTCAACCTGATCGGCTGAGTCATTCCTGCTCTACAGCAGTTTGTGTAAGTTCATGTTTTAACGCCTCGTTGCGTTTGCGATGGAGCACAATGTTGTACAACGGTACATTGATATTGTGTGAAACTCAAGAAGTCGGCCACCGAGACATTTGAAAATTTAACGAAAACTTATACAGATGCCACTCTCTAGAGGAATATGGTTTTTAAATAACATAGAGCTTTCACAAAATGTCGAGAAAATGTTGAAGCTGAACCTCATTCCGGAACGCCAATCTTATCAACAAACGACCAAACTGTGGAAGTTGTGTGGGCTGTGCTGGCGAATGACCGCCCACTGAGTGTCAGGAAGATGGCTTGGAAAAAGATGCACTTCATAGCAGTTTAACAGACGTTTTGCACATGATAGAAATGTGTGCAAAACTTTTGCCCTAAGACTTGTCTGTGGAGTGAGGAGAACCGGGTGGAAATTTGTTCAGATGTTGCTGGGAAGACTTGTAATTAAACCAAATTTCTTGGATCAAGTATTTAGAGGACGCGAATCATGAATGTACGAGTGACGACAAGACCCTATCGCTACCAGACTGAACCTTCACGTGGTACGATGGTTTTTGCGCACCTCATCGACCATTGAGCCGTACTGGGTGGGCCCCTTGAGAACTACTACCAGGTTGATCAATGGTTAGAGTCCAGACGAACTCAGTCTCTTGGTCCTCCAGGTTGGGGTTCGAAATGGGATGGTGTCCATTTTTGTAAAACCGAATGGTTGCCACATCCGTTGCCTTGCGGACAGGCTTTTGAGCCAAAAGCTTTGGTTGAGGATCCCAATCGTCCTCCTGTCTAGGTCTGGGCGCCCTGGCAGTATCTCAGCCCACATACAATCATGCCAATTTCCTGAAACTTCAACCACATCCTGCATCAGCCTTTGCGCAGATTATCAAGGGTCGCCTTATCTACCGCATACAGCAGGGCGGATAAGCGCAAACATGCGACTGTTGGCGCCTCTCTTCTTTCCTCTCCACATGTTTCTCTTAACTCCTCTCCCAGTCCCCATTACTAGCCTCCCTTCTATAGTTCCCCGTTTAATTGACAGCAACCGCAATGTCACTGGAGTCGTGCCATCTGCAGCGATGTTTCCCCACCACCCAGTGGACACCAACACCTCCTTATAAGGCCACATTCCCGTTTCCCTGACGGCGTTCTACGTTCGCACTCCATGACAAATAGGTCAACAGGCTGCACTCGCACACACGTTGGACACGCTGGGTATTGCCGTGCGTTGTGTGTCTGAAAATATAATTAGTGACCCTCACGAGGTTGTTGAGTTAACCGCGCCTGATTTATCCTCTCGCTATTGGTTGCACGCATCTGGAGACGCTGCTACGGCAACCATTGATCAGGCTGGAGTGGGCATTGTTCCTAGCTCCAAGGCTGAGTCGTCGTTGGTTGATTGGATTCTCTTGAACAGCCTTTGTGTGCAGCCCGTTTGATGACTACAGCTAAAGTTGATTCACAAAGTCATACAAGACGCTGTTTGTGGTTTCCGCTGACGCTTCCACCGACTGCAGTTCTGATGCTGCCAAGGACGCCTTCTATCACGTACTGAGTACACTACTACGCGTTGCTACCAGTTCAGATATCATAGTTCATGCGGTGGGCATGAATGCGCAAGTGACTCGTCTGAGTTCTTCGGAAGCTCTGTAATGTTGTAAGTATGGATTTAACTCCGACCGTACGGACAACGGCAAACGTCTGTTGCAACTGTGTGCGAAGCACCGATTGTTCCTTAGTAGCACTGCTTTTAGACACAGTGAGCCCAAAAGTGCCACTTGACGCCTACTTATAGCTGACCAGCGATGAACCCAAATAGATCACGTTACAGCTGACGTAGTTCCATCCTGGATTGTTGCTCGTACTGCTGCAGTACTTGCGTCGACTCTGATCATGCCTTGGTACGCTGTCGTTTTTCAATGGCCTTTACCAGGAGGCGTACCAATCGTCTCCTTCGATTGGTAACTTAGGATTTATTTCAGTCTTCGGTTAGGATGCCCTGCGTACCGAACTTTTGCTCTGTTGTCTTAATGAGTTTCAATGGAATAGGATCTTGGCCGCAATGCACCATGCAGGAGCCTCAGCTTGCGGCACTATCAACCGTCGCCGTGTCAATCACTAGATATCCGAGAGGTCGGTGAACCTGTTGGAATCCAGAAGAAAACTCCCTGCTGGCTCTGAGCACAATGTAACTAGGCGAACGATTAGGCACAAACTAAAGTGGAGCCTGCGTGTTGACAGGGAAGGCTGGTGAAATTGTGGGGCTCAGAAAATGGAGGAAGCTAGAGTAGCAGACAATTATAGCAAACACTTCCACCTGATCGGCACCACTGATCCCATAAAATCAGACGTCAGCGAGACAATCAGAGACACTGCGGGTGCCCTGATTCACAAGAAGGAGCGTCTTATGACTCGTTTGGCTTAGCTCTTTCGAGCTTAATTCATTGGTCCTCCTGTTTCTGGACCTGTTCCTACTCAGGTGTTGCGAGCTGAGCCGTGGTCAGTTAAGTTATAGTGTCTGTCGTAGGCTGAGGTCCGAAACGCGTTCACAGCCCTCAATCGTTTTCGTGTGGCTGGCCCGGATTCTCTCACACCCGCACTAGTTAAGGATGGAGGTGCGGTCCTCTGCAAGTCACTCACCTCCCTGTTCGAACATGTATGGAAGGAAGGAGGAGACCGTCCTGCCTACCTGAAGGGAATCGATTTTAGTGACAATATACATGAAGGGCAGTTTCACCGACTGTGCTAACCACAGGGTTATTGGCCTGCCACCGGTGGTGACAAAATTACTGGCGTCAATTGTCGTTCGTCGCCTCACTGCGGAATGGGAATGCCGGAGTAGGGAAGAGCAAGCAGGTTTCCGCCCAGGATGGGGCTGTATAGACCACATATTCACTCTGCGGCATGTGCTAGAGCAATGCCACACGTACCGCAAGCCGACAATAGCTGTGTTCCTCGACTTCAAGTGTGCGTTCGACTCAGTTTATCGATGCATTCTGTTCGAGTACAGAGCACTACTTGCTCTGCACTCCAACATCACAGGCCGCGTCAGATTCTACGGCGATTTATCGGACGTCTTCTCGACAATATGTTGCATCCGTCATGGTTGTCCAATTTCTCCATTTTCGTTCAACTTCGTCCTGGACTGCATCTTGGAGTGTTCCCTTACGGAGCCTCATGATACAGGTGTCTAGATGGTGCTTGGTGAAAGTCTAGTTGATCTTGACTTTGCGAACGATATTGTCTTGCTGTTTAACGATGTTGGTGGCCCAATCCACCATGAATAGGCTCTCAAGATTGGTCCCATTATCTGGCATGCGCTTCGCACCTTCAGTGCAAATTGTTGTTACAGAACCACCAGTCACGTGGTGACCCCTGGACCGTTGATGACGAGGAACTCGAGGGGCTGATCAATTCACTTACCTTGGCAGATGCATGGGAACGATGGACGCATAACGACTGAAATCAGTTCACGCATTGCAAAAGCCAGAACTGCCTTTTTGAATCTACGATGTCCTTTGCGTCAGAAAGTGGTTTCCATCGGTATGAAAAACCGTGTCTACAAGGCCACAGTGAGATGTGGCCCCTTCGATCAAAGGGTTTTATGCGTCTTCAAGTCTTCGACCATCGTTGTCTGCGAAGCATTGCTGGTGTCGGGTAGCATCAGGGTGTCCGCAACTATGATATACGTGAGTGCTAGGCATTGGTAGTCATGCTAGTTCCTTAGAACAACATATAGCACTAAATAAGTCGCGTCGACTTGGGCACGTGCTATGTAATATACCCCGTCAGCCCGTGGCCGAGTGATTTGCGCACCTAGTTTGCAACCATAAGGTCCCTGGTTCGGATCCGCACCCTACTAAATGTAGGGTGGCCCAAGGCCCGTGGTGGGCAAAAATTAACTTTGCAGCGGGAAGTGAAGCCACTGACGACCAAACTCGGTGCCGTCGGTTCGTCTCGGTTTCCAGACTGCAGTCCACGTGACCCGCCGTGTACTTGGCTCGAGACGTTACAGGACATGACTCGCAGTCGGCGTCAGTGGTGCGTCTGCTGCCGTCTCCTAATCGGATTGCCTGTTTAAAGTGTGTTTAGTGCTGAGTTATCTGCGGGGTAATGGCTGATTAGGTAGCGGGACAGTGAAAGCCGCAAGGAAATTGGCTCACCGATGCCGCCTTATCTTTGCACGATAGTCAGCTGTATATGGAGGTATGTTGTTGACAAGATGTAGGCAGCTTGACCCTAAATGTTTCCTCGGGGCATTAAGGTTTTCCGGTAATTCCTCCTCTCCCTCTTATTTTTCTTCAATCCGTAGGTGACCGTGGTTGTACGACAGCGTAGTATCCGTTCAACTAGCTGCTTATGATGATGATGATGATGATGATGATGAGGAGGAGGAGGAGGAGGGTAACCGTGGTCCCTATACCAAGCGGCCAACTGAGGAGTAGCACACGAAAATTCCCCTCTTCTGTTGATTGAATTATGCACGCAGAGTTTGTACCCCCCAAAACAGACAGTTACTCAGGCCGTCTACAAAGGCGTGTTGATACGACTTCGAAAACGGGTCCAACAAGTCCAAAGGTACATTAGAGATTATTTGACGCTGCACCCTGATGACGCGCCTGCTCACCCAGCGCTTTCAATTCGAGATTTTTCAATTATGAAAATATCCCCGCACTACCACAATCTTCCTACAGCTTTGACCTAACTCCATGCAATTTCTAGTTCTCTAAGTTGAAGTTTCATCACCATGGAACCGTGGAAAACATTAGAAATGGTATCGAATGAATTTAACAATCTTGCAGAAAATTCTTGTCAGCACTACCACGATCATTGGAAAATACTTCGGAACCCCTGCGTAATTTTTCAAGGGCCATACTTTGAAAGAGATAACTTGTAATTTCGGATGTCTCATATACCTTTAGATAATAGGTCCGTACCCTTAATTTCGGGACACAAAGGAATGCTTAATGTTTGCTTGCTATTGCTAATCTTTCTTCTGTTTTGCCGTTCACTTTCGGTAACAGGGTTGGAGCCAAACGCCCTTCTCATTCGACTCCTTTGGGTGACTCTGTTTCGGACACTGACGATGGCGACTCTTCTGACGATTCTGAAACTGGATATTCCGAAGCGAAAGAGTTGGTGCCTAAAGTTGCAACTCCAAAGTTCAGCAACTTGCCCATTCCAATGGGCAACCTTATGGACCGTTTGATGTGTCAAGTTGGTACGTTCATGCTTCTCATATTTTTCTATTGGTTTGTTCGCATTATTTGGCGAGGCAATCCAAACCTCTGTCTTTGAGTACCACTGCTTTTGCTTCATCGCCCGTGTCTGGTGGCTACATCACCTAACCAATGTGGAAGTTAGACGGGGTATCTTGGGTGGAGGCAGCCACTCGCTCGAGGAGCTTGTCCCACTGCGTCGGATGGGGTGGCTTGGACACGTACTGGGCATGCCCGCTCACCATCTTCCACGTCGGCCATTGTTCGCGGTTACTGGACAGGACTGAAGGAGACGACGCAATAAACAACCTACAACTTAGGAAGCCACATGAAAATAGCTGACAAAACAGTTGTCTTCTGTCGGTTCTCGATTCCTTGGTTGGGATTTTAGAGATGCAGCATCTCGTGGCTCAAGACCGACGTCAATGGTTGACCTGTGTCTGCGTATTACGGTGATTTTCCTTCTCTTCCCCATTAAAACAAACAATAAAAATACACAAAATCTCAAAAACAGTGAAATGCTGGAGAAAAGTGCGTTCTATTTTCTCCTGCTTTTCTCCTGTTTTATTTAGCCATGATTCCGATGGCACAACGTGTACGCCACAGATTGCGCTCTCGGTAGACGCATTTCTCTTTTAATGACTCTACTATAACTCTTTTAAGTAGTATGAAATCGACAAACACTTGTACCCCGTACATTTTCTCGACGCAGCCATAGCTGCTCTCTGAAGCTTGCAATTCTTACCACAGATTAAAATATACGCTGTTTGGTACGCATATATTATCGTTTCGCGATCTTCTACCCTAAACCTAATACCTTAGTTCATCCATCTGCTCATCTACTTTTCAGTTGTTTCATTGTACTTCGTCTCTTCCTCCCTGAACAATCACGCCGTCTAGTTACAATGTAATTCATATTTGCCATCCCTAGTTGCTGCTTCTTCCAATCTCCACGTTTATCCATCTGGAGACGTCTGTGCTTATTTTTGCATTATGTTATGCACAGTGCCTAGCTTGCAGGGCTGCTCCTGTCACAACGGCTGATAACTGGTATATCCCCCTGCCGCGCGATAAGCTGCTGATCTATTGAAGAGTCAGATAAATATACACAGGAATTTCATGCTCGCGCATCAATAACACAAGTAGAAGTTAAAATTCAAGTGTCAGTTTATCCTAATAGCATGTAACAGTCTACGTAGGTTGTGAGTTTGGTCGGGACAGATATGCTGAAGATTCCTCCGGTCCTTTCATAGGAAACGTGTGAGCGCGAAAGTTCTTTTTTGATGCCTAGATCCACCCCATCGATCATTTCAATTCTACCAACAAGTCCAATCAATGGTACCTATCCAGCGTAATAACAGCATACAAAAATGGTTTTTAGTGTGAAGAATGTAAAAGAACTGCGTCAAGGAAAAACCTAGTACATGGCAAAAGTTGATTGAAATAAATAAAAGTTGGACAATCTTCCCTGTACCCGGGGACGCCGCGGATTTTTGAATCACCATATGCTGTATACTACTTTTGCTTCGGATTGTTGTGTTATAAGTGTTTTTTCTGTCTGAATTGTTCACCAATATTCTTCTTTTGGCGTATTTTCCAATGGGTCCACATTTGGTGGATATTCTTTGGCTAATTCCAGAGATCTCATTAGATTTGCTCTACTTGTGGTTCGCGTTCGAAAGTTGTTGGAAATGACGCTCATGCACTTCGGTGCTTCGGCTGTGATGTTTTGTTCCATATTTCGTGCATTGGCTTATCCGTTGACATGTTTCGAAAATCTCTCGACATCCGACATTGGTTTTCCAAGTTATATGTGATAAAGTCGCGGTACAATACATCAGAATATGCAGCGACCACAAACAACTACGGGAAAACCTGTCTTCCAGGCAGAGACAAACCGTTCACCACGTGGCATCAAACGCCATCGTGAAAGTACCTCTGTCACCTCGCCTTCCCTTGTCACTCCGCGATCTGCACCACCACCACCACCACCACCACCAACGTCTTCGACCCCGGCTGAGCAGCATGCCCAATGTTCCCCACCGATGGAAGACAGACTCGGAAACTACGAAATGCCGCTTCACTTATCAGTCCGTGAATTTCTCAGAGCCTGTCTGTGAACTTCTGAACACCGATGATCCATGGACCACTCAAAAGCGCAATGGCCCACGTAATCGAGTTCAGGCATTCTTTGCTGATAAACAACAACCCAAACAGATAAGCGCCTCCAGTCCTGCTCCCACAGGTTCATCACCGATTTCGCTGAGGCGTCATAATTTCATGGTCTTTCACGTACCAAAAATGAAAACCCTCAGCTATGTTATTATCACGTTGTTGAGTTCCTCCAGACGCTCATCGGTAGACGTAAATGTGGGTGAAGACTGTGTGACGATTAAACAAGTAATCTGACTCGGCCAGAAAACTAACCTGTCATGTCGACCTCTGAGAATGACCATTGCAAATCCCAATATGCCGCAGCTCATACTGTCTCGTCTGTCGAGGCTGAAAGGCATTAAAGTTCACATCCGCCGACACTTGGAACCCTAAGATAGGGATCATTTGAAGATTGTGGTCATTGAGCTCAAATGCCGTACGGGGGAAGTTGAGACTGACTTACAAATTGTAAATTTTCGGGTAATCAAGAAGGGTGTACGAACCCGTATTAACCGGTTGCTCAACCTCCAGGCACGTCCCGCAGTACCTCCGTGTCGCATTCGCTAACATGTGCAGCCTAATGAATAAATGTGACGGACTGTGCCGCTTCGCTGTCTCGGAGCGGCCGGATGTTTTAGGACTTGCAGAGACTTGGCTGAACTCCGACGTCGTACCCCAAGAAGTCGCGTTGTCAAGATACTCTTGTTTCCGATGCGACCGAAAATCAAAGGCTCACGGTGTTGTTCTGTTGTACATAAAATCGTCACTAACTGGCAAACTTACCAGCACCTATCGGAATTAGAATAACTTATGCGAGCAATTGTGGTGCACAATCCGCGTCAGACGCGCAGAACTGATAGTGGGTGTTATCTAACGTAGCCCATTAAACTGTTGTTGCGATTGGCTACCACATGTACAGAAGCACATGAGCCGCCCTCAGTTCTTACTGATGGGGATCTAAATTTACCTAAGATATTCTGGCCAGACGTTCGGCTTCTTCCCGGTCATGGCAACGTTGAGGCTCAATTCGCTAGAATGACAATTGAAATCGGGACAACATGTCATCCAACCGACGCGCGTAACTCCGCACTCGGCATCTTATCTGGACCTAATGTTTACGAGCTGCGAGCAGAAGCTGAACGAGATCAGAGTCCTCGAACCTGGCGAACAGTGACGACTGCTCCATTGTGGCAGGCATAGAACTGTCGTTACCGTATTACAACCAACGGAAACCGACATTCAACTATTGGAAGACGGACTTTAACAGGCTTGTTCAAGCCGCAAGTCAGACTGCTTGGACACTACCACAGGATGCGTCGCTTGAGACCTGTTGGTCATTAATGAAGGGGAAGCTTAATTCGCTATGTACTCGGTTCGTTCCACTGAAGTATTCAAAAGTCGGACCTGCGAATCCGCATTGGTTTGATATGGAATATAGATAGTTAGCCAACTTTGGCATAGGTACATCAGCTCGGGTTGCGATGAAGATTACACGGTATACAAGAAACAGCATAACTTATGTAACGTCGCAAAGATCAAGAAACGCCGGAAGTTCGAAGAGGAGCTAGCATCCTCGGTCACAACTGCACCCATAAGAATATTTGCCTACTTGAAACGTCAACTGACACCTGGGGTCGACCTACCGATCTTAGAGAGCTTGGACAGACAGACGCTCATCTCAAGGGCGGAGCGCGCGGACGCCTTGGCTACCCACTTCCTCACCGTATTTTCCATTAAACCGGCGGCTGTTCAAGTACCGGCACAAGTTGCGTCAGTCTTGCTCGACAGCCTACAATGTGATGCAGTCGAAGTGTTTCAGCTACTCGTCAACCTCGATGGTGCAAACCCCCCGGACCAGACGGACTTCACCCATTAATACTCAGGTCCCTGTCAAATGCCATCTCACCAGCTGTGACAAACCTCTTCAATAAATCGCTCTCTGAAGGATGTGTCCCGAACGACTGGAAATGCTCGATAGTGAGAACGTTTCCTAAGGATGGTGATCCGAGTAAAGTAGAGAACTATAGGCCGATCTGTTTGACTTCGACATTATCCAAAGTTCTGGAGAAGGTTGTGAAAAAGTGTCTGCTGTCCTTCTTCGAATCGATGGACGTATTGACGTCAGTGCAACATGGCTTTACGAAAGGGCGGTTCGGCATCACCAACTTGATATACGCAAACCACCAGTAGGTACGAGCTCTCAACGAACGGAAGGATGTTGACGTGGTGTACATCGACTTTAGTAAGGCGTTTGACAGAGTGAACCACGAGGTACTCCTTCGTAAACTGAGGAATCGGTGGCACGCTACTTCAGTGGTTACACGAGTTTATTGTGGGACGAAAGTTTAGAGTACAGGTCAATGACTACCTGACAGACTGGTTCTCATCGACCAGTGTCGTGCCTCAAGGAACTGTACTTGGGCCAGTATTATTTCTTATTCATATCAACGAGCTCCCGCAACCGCTCTAGTCACCATGTGCCCTGTTTGCAGATGATTTAAAAATCTGGAGAATCATTGAGAACCAGCACGACTGCACTCGCCTCCAGCATGACTTAGAGCGACTGTCAACGTGGTCCACTGAAATGTATCTCCCTCTTAACGCAAGCAAGTCGGAGTTCATCAGTATCACCAGACGTCCAGCCACTCGATCATTTACCTTGGACGGCCTGTTGCTCCACCCTACCACATCTGTCAGCAACTTAGGAGTACTCTCGCGACATGATATGGGATCACTAGAAAATACAGCGAAATTGTACCGTGTGGAACTTCGTATGCTCTGGGCATTACGACGCAGTTTCTCCACATGGTCCGAAGAAACCATCCCTCGCCTATTCACCTCACTTCTC